CCCCAAAACCCCAAAACCCCAAAACCCCGTGATTGCCAGATCTATTTAGAGTAAAGATTCTTAAAATTACACTTCAGTTAAAAATATTAAAATTGCTTTATTAAAGAAATGATACCTGCTTTTGCTAAGGGATATAATAAGCTCATTTAACTTACAACTATTCAACAGTTAGAAGACCTCAAAGATAAGACCAAGGATAAGATGATAGCTATATTATTCTGGGCAAGTTGGTATCCTGAATGTGAGGATATTAAAAAGCTATTTGAGGATCTGTGCATTGATCATAATCACATTAAATTTACCTGGGTATCTAACGATAAAATAATAGTTGATATTATCTTTAGAGTGATGTTGATAAAGATAAAGACGTAGTAAAATTGTTTAAAGTCATGCAAGTGCCTTAAATTCTTCTCATTCACGTAACATCTAGATTTATTAAAATTGTAATTAGCCTCATAAAGAACATGGCGAGTAGATCGAGAACCCTAGAAAACACAACATTATAGAGGTAATGAATGCTTATGAGGAATTCTACAACAAATTATTCATAAATGAAAGAGTTAGAGCTTATAATGATATTGAGGAGATTCTTGGTTCATACCCTATAGTCATATTCATTAGAGGTTCTCCTACTGAGCCTTAATGCAAGTCATCAAGAGTGCTTTTGGAATATTTAACAAAAATGGAGATTAAGTTTAGACATTTTGATATTCTTTCAGATTAGAGACTCAAAGAATGGCTTAAGTTTTATTCGAATTGGCCGACGTTTCCTTAGGTCTTTGTCAATACAAAGTTTATAGGAGGCACTGAAATCGTAATAGAAATGATTGAGAACGACGAGTTTCTTGGGATAATTCCAACTGAATGCATAAAAACAAATGCTCTTGAAAGAATCAAACTTGCTCTGTAGAAATCAATAGTAGTAGTTTTTATGAAAGGGAATCCTTAAAATCCTAGAGATGGCTACTAAACTGAGTGCATTAAGTTACTTCAAGATAATCAAATAAGATTTTCTCATTTTGACGTGCTTAAAGATCCTGTAAATATACTAATAGCCTTGTTATAAAATTTAGGATGTCAGAGAAATACTCAAAGAGTATTCTAGATGGAAAGCTTATCCTTAGATATTTATTAATGAGGTATTATGCTGTAAGACTAATAATTATGTAGAAATTCATTGGAGGATTAGATTACCTCAAGGAGCTGATTGAAAAAGATGGGTTAGTCAAAATCATTCCAATGACTGAAATGATTGTTACAATGAGGACGAAGGTTATGAAACTTATTAATAAAGGCAAATTTACGATAATGATAAGAGGTAGTCCAGAATTTCCAGCTTGTGGAGATTCGAAAAAGGCTATGGTTGTTTTAGAAAAGTATCCTAAAATTATGGAGTAACTAGAGTATTTCGATCTTTAACAGGATGATTCAATAACTCGGGCTTTACTTAATTACTCCAACTTTGGAAGTATCCCCTAATTTTATATGAATGGAAAGCTTATTGGGGGTCATGAAGTCATTGAAAATTTAGACAGCACTGGTGAGATTGAGAGATTAATTTTAGAAAGTGATGTAATAAGAATGAAGAAATGATTGAATAAAATAAATCGATATGATGATGTAGCATTAATTTATTGAAAAATCTTGATATGAAATTCAGATGAAGGTTTGGGGTTTTGGGGTTTTGGGG